AACAGGGAGGCTCTACTACACCTATTGTAGGTCTTCATTGGCCCATTAACACAGTCCACAGCCAAGTGCTAAAGAAGTCAGTATGTGGCAAGTCTGTAACAGCTGCCCTTAACTTTCACTGATAATTATTCTCATTTAAATGACATAATATTTAATATACTGTTGTTAAATGTAGTAATGGTAAAATTCATACCTCAAGGGCTACAATGTGACTGAGTTTTAGTCAGATACACTGAACTGTGACCTAATGATGTAATATAGGCCTTTACATCATTTAGATGCACAGGCCACAATCTCACTCTGTATAAACATCCATATGTTGCATATATTGTGATCATTCCAAAAGACAATTAAAACAAAATCAATACGAGCATGATTCTACGACCTTTAAAACAAGAAAACTACTGGACATGGAATTACATTCCATGCTTGTAATCACAGAATCATAGAATCAACCAGGTTGGAAAAGACCTCCCAGATCATCAAGTCCAACCCTTGATCCAACACCGCTGTGGTTACTAGACCATGGCACTAAGTGCCACATCCAGTCTCATCTTAAAAACCTCCAGGGATGGTGAATCCACTACCTCCAGCTCATTCCAATGTCTGATTACTCTCTCTGCAAAAAATTTCTTCCTAATATCCAACCTAAACCTCCCCTGGCACAGTTTAAAATCATGCCCTCTTGTCCTACTGCTGGTTGCCTGGGAGAAGAGACCAACCCCCATCTGGCTACAACCTCCTTTCAGGGAGTTGTAGAGAGTGATGAGGTCTCCCCTGAGCTTCCTCTTCTCCAGGCTAAACAACCCCAGCTCCCTCAGCCTCTCCTCATAGGACTTGTGCTTGAGTCCCTTCACCAGCCTCGTTGCTCTTCTCTGGACCTACTCCCAGCACCTCAATATCCTTCCTGAACTGAGGGGCCCAGAACTGGACACAGTACTCCAGGTGTGGCCTCACCAGCACTGAGTACAGGTCCACTTCCCTAGTCCTGCTGGCCACACTGTTCCTGATCCAGGTCAGGATGCCCTTGGCCTTCTTAGCCACCTGGGCACACTGCTGGCTCATGTTCAGCTTCCTGTCAATCCAAACTCCCAGGTCCCTTTCTGCCTGGCTGCTCTCCAGCCACTCTGTGCCCAGCCTGTAGCGCTGCATGGGGTTGTTGTGGCCAAAGTGCAGGACCCTCCACTTGGCCTTGTTGAACCTCAGCCCGGTTAGAATCAGACCATCTCTCCAGCTTGTCCAGGTCTCTCTGAGGAGCCCTCCTGCCTTCCAGCTGATCGATACACCCCCCAGCTTGGTGTCATCTGCAAATTTGCTAATGGTGGTCTCAACCTTCTCATCCAGATCATCAGTAAAGATATTAAATAGAACTGGGCCCAACACTGATCCCGGGGGGACACCACTTGTGACTGGTTGCCAACTGAATGCAGCACCGTTCACCACCATCCTCTGGGCCCAGCCATCCAGTCAGTTCTTAACCCAGCACAGAGTGCCCCTGTCCAAGCCATGGACTGCCAGTTTTTTCAGGAGAATGCTGTGGGAAGTGGTGTCAAAAGCTTTGCTGAAGTCCAGATAAACCACATCCACAGCCTTCCCCTCATCCACCAGGTGGGTTACCTGATCAAAAAAGGAGATCAGGTTGGTCAGACAGAACCTGCCCTTCCTAAGTCCATGCTGGCTGGGTCTGATCCTTTGTCCATCCTGTAGGTGCTGTGTGATTGCACTTAGGATGATCTGCTGCATAACCTTGCCAGGCCCTGGGGTCAGGCTGATGGGCCTGTAGTTTCCCGGGTCCTCCTTCCGACCCTTTTTGTGGATTGGTGTGACATTCGCCAACTTCCAATCATCTGGGACCTCCCCAGTGAGCCAGGACTGTTGGAAAATGATGGAGAGCGGCTTGGCGAGCTCTTTCACCAGCTCCCTCATCACCCTAGGACGGATCCCACCTGGTCCCATAGACTTGTGAGGATCCAAGTGGCTCAGTAGGTTGCTAACTGTTCCCTCTTGGATTACAGGGGGGCTATTCAGCTTCCTGTCTCTGTCTACCAGCTCTGGAGGCCAATTGTCCTGAGAACAACCTGTCTTACCATTGAAAACTGAGGCAAAGAAGGTGTTAAATACCTCAGCCTTTTCTTCATCTTTGGTGACTATGTTTCCCCCCGTCCAACAAAGAGTGGAGGTTTTCCTTGCCCTACCTTTTGCTACTGATGTATTTGTAGAAGCACTTCTGTTATCCCTAACAGATGTGGCTAGATTGAGTTCAAATTGTGCCTTTGTCTCTCTAATTTTCTTTCTGCATGACCTATATTCCTAAACTCTTCATGAGTAGCCAGCCCTTTTTTCCATAGTCAGTAAGCTCTCTTTTTTACCCTAATTTCCCTAATTTCCCCCAATTTCCTGATCTGCCAGGCTGGCTGTCTTCCCTGCCGGCTTGTCTTTTGGCAGACTGGGACAGCCTGCTCCTGTGCATTCAAGACTTCCTCCTTGAAGCACGTCCATCCCTCCTGGACCCCTTTGTTTTCAGGGGCTGTTTCCCCAGGTACCCTCTGAACCAGTCTTCTGAATAGGCCAAAATCTGCCCTACAGAAGTCCAGCATAGAGGTTTTATTGATGGCCCTCCTTGCATCCCTGAGTATTGAAATCTCTATCATTTCATGGTCACTGTGCCCCAGACCACCACATCTCCCACCAGCCCCTCTCTGTTTGTGAACAGCAGGTCTAGTGGGGCCCCATCCCTGAGAGGCTCATTTATCAGCTGGAGCAGGAAATTATCCTCTATACACTCTAGGAATCCCCTGGACTGCCTCTTCTCTGCTGTGTTGAGTTTCCAGCAGACATCCAGCAGGTTAAAGTCGCCCACAAGAACAAGGGCTGGCAATTTTGAGATATCTGCCAGCTGCTTGTAGAATAATTCATCACCCTCATCATCCTGGTTGGTTGGTCTGTAACAGACTCCCACCAGGATGTCACCTTGTTGGCCTTCCCCCGATTCTGATCCACCGACACTCAAACTTATCATTACCAACCTCATCATTACCAACCTCGAGTTCTACAGAGTCAAGAGACTCTCTAACATATAAAGCCACCCCTCCACCTCTCCTACCTTGCCTGTCCCTTCTGAAGAGCTCGTAGCCACCCATGGCAGCACTCCAGTCACGCGAGTCATCCTACCATGTTTCCATGATGGCGACTACAGCACAGCTTTCCTGCTGCACGATGGCTTCCAGTTCCTCTTGTTTGTTACCCATGCTGTGTGCATTGGTGTACATGCACTTCAGCTGGGCTGCTGATTTCACTTCTAACTCTGGCTTTCCATCCTCAGGTTCATCTCTGGAGAGCCTGGTTTCAACCTCCTCCCCCTTCAAACCTAGTTTAAAGCCCTCCTGATCAGTCCTGACAACTTATGGACTAGAGTCCTATTGCCCTTGCAAATATATAATTACGCCTAACTATTAATCACATTTAATAAACAGCAGATTTCTAATGTTATCTCTTAGATATGATGTGGTTTTTTTCCATGTATTCCTTTGCAAATCATATTTCTTCATCCCTCTTGATCAATAGCATTCAGAATCTAGAAATCTAAAATACGATGCAATATGTATGTAATGCCATTACAGTACGTATTTCTGTAGATATCCCTCATAAATCTATCTTCATTATATATACCTAATATCTATAAACACATATAAACAAATATTTCTATCATATATACATAAATATCCACTGTATGAATACCATGGATGTATACTTGCATGTAAATTTTAGACTGGTAATGGAAAAAAAGGATTCTGTTGCATTTGAACACGTGTAACCATTAACTTTTACAAAACAGATACCTGAGAGAATCCTAAAACAGTTAAAGAACTCCATTCAGTATATATCCTACCAAGAATAACAAGATCTCATTATTAAAGTAGTTCTCTTTTTAGCTCTCTTTCTCTAGGACTGTTCTATAATTTAGTGCACTTTTCTGTGAAAATCTGGGTATAGAGCATTTAAGAATATGAGCACAGAATGCAAAGACTTCCACAGAATCACATAAAGCTAATTTACTTCTTTCACACATAAGACACAAACTGAAGAGACGGAATTCCTCAGATCAGGAATAAAGAATCCCATATTTTCTATGAAGTGCCAAGTACGCTATTACTGCCTAAGAAAATCAAGGAATAAATCAGAAACTAAAATTTTCAAAGTTTTTCAAGCATGTCCACTTCAATAACTGGATGACTTCTAGACGATGCAGAGCTCCCACAAAGTCAGTAGCAATTAACAGAATTCAGAAGAGTGTAGTATTAGATTATTATACAGAAATAGTCTTACAAAATGTAATAAATCACTTTGGAACCCAAAAGATGATGAAATTCTTCAGATAAGCAACCATATATATTTATGACCATATTCATAAACCAAGCCCGTCCATTTTTTTGTTTACTTGTTTTATGTTTTATTTGTTTATCTATTTCAACCAATCTGCATAAAACACTTTATTTAAAGCTACCTTTCTAACATGGCCTTATAAACAGGATTTTTCTGCTTATACATTACACTGTACAGATACTTTCCAATACTACCATGATCACAATCCCTTTTCTTCCATACCTCGTCTTTCTAATGAAGGAATGAAAAGAGCTATTGACTTGCATCTTAGTTTCGTAAGTCAAACAGTAGCCCTTGAAACTTTGTCAACTGCCTTTGATGAGCAAATCATGCTTACAGATAGCTAAGCTCAGTATCTGCAGTATTCAAGATATTTCCTACAATAAGCATAAGCAAGTACAAATAAATACTATGGTATGAAGGAACCTGTATTTTTTTAGCTTAGGAAAAACTGAGTCTTTTATTTTGCCAACACCATCATTAGTCTTAAACACGCCAGACTGAATTTACTACACTTCCTTGTACCTCTTTGGGCACAACATCACTACATCCATACAACAACAACCAAAAAAAATCAGTTAACTGGGTTTGGAAACACGCTTTGCTTTATTTCCTACCTGAAGAATGTAGCCTCGAACATAGTCTCGAAGTGTCCAGCCTAAGCCATGTAGAATATGCAACACCTCCTCTTGCTTCAGTACACTGAAAAGTCGATCAAGCAGTATCTTCAGTCTCACAGGTACAGCCTGAGTGCCATAAAGCATCAAGCTGCTGATGTCAAACACAACATTGGACTGCACAATTTCCACTTGGGTTGGGTGGTAGAGATGCTGAGTACTAAGTTTGTCCAAGGCTGAAAGAAAAGGGTCAAGTATAAGTAAAGAGTAAAGAAAAGACAAGAAAACAACCCCAAAGCGTCATGTATACACATATTTGGCAGATGCACTTATTTTCCAGAGAAATATCACCTGGATGATCCATAGAATCACAGAATCGTTTGGGTTGGAAGGGCGCTTTAAAGGTCATCTAGTCCAAACCCCCTGCCATGGGCACGGACATCATCAACTAGACCACATTGCTCAAAGCCCCGTCCAAACTGATCTTGAATATTTCCATGGATGGGGCATCTACAACCTCATTGGGCAACCTGTTCCAGTGTCTCATCAGCCTCATTGTAAAAATTATCTCCTTTATATCTAATCTAAATCTACTCTCTTTCAGCTTCATGTCCTTGTCAGAAGTTCCTCTCCAGCTTTTTGTAGGCCTCCTTTCAGTACTGAAAGGCTGCAATAAGGTGATCCTGGAGCCGTGCCCAAGTTTCTTTTCAACTCTTCCCCAGGCTGAAGAACCCCAACTTCCTCAGCTTTTCCTCACAGGAGAGGTGCTCCATCTCTCTGATCATCTTGGTGTCCCTCCTCTGGACTTGCTCCAACAGGTCCATGTCTGGGGACTCCAGAGGTGGATGCAGTACTCTAGTGAGATGCACCCTAAACCCCCATTTTTAAACATGTTAAAAGTAAATCCCCTGATGTACCATAAATTCCATCATGAATTCACTACTACTTGAGCTGGTTAGTTTTTTTCACCTCACACAAATTTAGAGATAAGGCGAAGGGAAGTTTGCAGGATGAAGGTAGTTATGCTCTTGTGAAGTTATGTAAGATGGAACTGCATATGACATCACACATTTTACTGACTACCAGTGTTCAAATTTAATTTTATTTCTATTTTATGGACTGTGTTGCAGCACCTAAGATACTCCCTGCATTTTTAAGAAAAATTTCTGAGCATTTAAAATAATCTTATAGGGACTTCTCTTATACTTTGGTTTCTTCTTGGTTTATGGTCACTAGAGAGTTCACGTACTCTTGATAAATTGCTTTTGTACATATAGAGCACAAAAGCCCTTATCATTTACTCCCTGGCTTCATTCAACACATTTACTCCAAGGACAACATTGTCAAAGAGTTCTGGTTTCCTCATACTTCATTTCTTGCAACTGATTTTTCTAATCTTTCCTATTCTAGTGGCTAAGTCAACTTTGAATAAATAGCTTTAATATTAATTTAACATTCAAACAAGATAATGAATTGGCAAGGCTAGGGACTGCAGTCCTGTGTGTCTCCATAGGACATTTATACTGAAGAATATGAAGGCTGGGATTTTTTTCTTCCAAAAGCTCTTCTTCTGAAGTACTTTAGCTACATAGGCTTCATGATGTGGGATGATTTATTTACAAAGTCTAATGAATGAGATTTGATATTTTTCTAAGGTGTTTTTTTTGCTTATACCATACCAGATGTGTCCTCAAAGTTCTCAGTAAGAAAAGCCAAGAAAACTGATTCTGTTACTTTGCAGATTGTGCCGTATGTGTGTTGATATTTATGTATGTATGTGTACCTGGGGGACAGCACAGCCCTTAGGAAGAAGTAAAAAAAATTAATTGTTTTCTAATAGATATAACACCTTCTACCAGACTATTGAAATTATAGAGTGGATCTGGATCACCTTGAACTTTCCACCTTCAGTCTTACAGAATGAGAATAGTGTCCAAAGACGTTAACTGGCTTCTCCAAGTTTAGACAAATTCAGACCAGAGCCAAGACATGAACAGATATTTTCCGAATACTCAGTGCTTTTTAATAACTGCATCATACTATATTTCTAATATATCTAATATTTATTGTTGTTTCTCTCAACTTAACAGTAAATACTATGCCCACATAGTGAGGAAAAACAAGTTCTTCCAGCCAAAGAAGACTTGTCTTGCTGAAGGTTTTAAGGTCATTATTCCACTATGATCTAAGTCAGAATGACTAAAGGTCATCTTTATCTAAAGGCTATTGGGTGAATTACAAAACTAATAGCTAGAATGAGATTACAAAACTCTGTGGACATATACTCACTTCACGTAGTGTGACCACTCTGAGGATAATAGCTTTGGAAAGCCTGAGATGGAATAGAAGTTGAAAAGAAATAAAAAAAGTCCTTTCAAATTACTAAGCACAATATTTGACCAGTGGACAGAAATTTCTACAAGATAACCTGTACTGGTCCATTCAGCTGCAATATTTGTTTTCAAGTAGTATTATCTATAGACATCTGATTCTGAAAACACATGCATGAATAAAAATTAGTATCATGTTAGAATAACATTCCAAATGACAGTGAAATTATCTCCAATTTTGATTTGTGGCCTTATTATGTATATTATGTAATAAACAAATAAGCAGTGAAGCTTATCCTTTTGAAGTACAAGTCAGGATATGCACTGAAATGTGTAATTTATAACACAGCAAAACATATATTATTGCATGGGTGCAGAAGAACATTTGCAAGCTAGAGACAGACCTCATGTTACATGAAAAAAAGGGTTATAAATGAAAAGAAATGAAAGGAAACACAGTTGTGTTCATATGAGAAACAACAGAATCATAAGAATCTGAAATTCTTTCAAACCATTGAGTACTCATACCCCTTCAACTTGTCATGAGAATAAAAATTTTCACTCCAATTTATAATTTACAAAAATTTTCTTGTTTCTTTAAAAGACACTGCTAAGGAGAATTTGATCACTCCTCTGGTACCCTTAGTGAACTAATTTCAGTGTTCTAGGTGTATTCAAGAGGCCATTCATGTTGATAGACAGATACTTTTTCAGGTAAGACATAAGAAAACACCTTTCTCATTGTTTTTCCTATAAGAGTATTAGCTTTCTGATTCTTGCCAAATCTCAGAGTAGGTAGTTGTATTCTGCTGTCCTGAATTGCTCACATGATTTCATGTGGATAATGCATTCCTCATCATATTCTATTCTAAACTATTTAATTTATACATGCTAATGAACAATGCCCCATTTCACAAGTGAATACATTCAACAGTATCTGCAGCAGGAGGCTTCAAGATTAAATATGCTATATAAAAGAATGTGTTTTATTATACCTGGAAAATAACATAAACAGATGCATCATTATTAAGAAGTTATCAGCAACTGAACATCATAAAGCACACATTAAAAGTCCATTCCAGGTGCAACGTGAGGTATTACTCAGATTTTGTACAGTTTCAGTGGGATCAAAAGTTCACATACAAAAGTCTTAACGTGCTTGTGACATTTTGGTTGTAACCTGCACAATCTTTTCCAAAAATGTGACTATGATGGGATCAAGTATGTGCTTGAACTAAGAAAGATTCCTTTTTTTAACAGTCCAGTTTAATCTTAGCACTGCCTTGATAGTCTGGTATTCTTTAATTCAATATAAGTGGAAAGGTGTTCTCTGATAAAGGAAGAAGATATCTAAGGGATCTTAAAATCACGTACTTACTGAGCAATCAACATTTTCATGGAATGGCCTAAAAAGACCCTTGTGTTTTACTCTGACAACACTCACTCGAGTAATATTTCTGTGGTGAACTCCAAATTTCAAGTACTTGTTTCAGAAATTTGTACCATTAAAAAAAGGGAGGCCAAAAAGGATTATAAAGAAGTAGAAGACATTACAGAAGACTGCCTTCAACGCCCAAAAATTACTAACTGGATAATTAGTAAAGGAATTAGGGACCTTTCAGCAATGTTTTTCCAGTACGCACCATAATAATTTAGAATATTTCAGTTGGAAGGGACCTGTAATGATTATCTAGCCCAACTGCCTGACCACTGTAGGGCTGTTCATCATTTAAAGCATATCAAGAGGCATTTTCCAAATGCCTCTTAAGAAGAGAGAGTCTTGGGGCATCGACTACCTCTCTAGGAAGTCTGTGGTTTGACCACCCTCTTTGTAAATAAATGCTTCCTAATGTCAAGCCTGAACATCCCCATGTTGGCTTATTAATCCTTTACCTTCTGGAATAGTAAACAAAATCCCCAAGATTTTAGAGAGAATCTGCTCAGTATAATCTGAATTTTAAAGAGAACTTTGAAGTTATTTCAATATCAATCTTCGCATTACAGCCTGCCGTATTCTTATTATATAAAATTCCAGAAAAAAAAAATTTAGACCTATTTGTAATAAATCAACAAATAAACTTTAATGTTCCATTTGTAGTTTGATTTTTTTTTTAATGTAGTAAAATGGGAAGGGGAAATCTACTTCATCAATTATATTTTCTACTGGAGTTTTGGGACTCTGTGTAATTCAAAGGAAATTAAGTACAAAGGATACATTAGAATAAGGCTAAGTGCTTCTTCAATTCATCAAAAGACAGAAAACAAAGACAACATTTTTCGTTTCAGCTATACTGTGTCCCGTCCATAGGCTCAGTTCTGCACATTTACTCATTGCCCTTAGACCCCTTCCTTCCCAATGTGCAGTGAAAAAAAGTCAATCAAATTAAAAGCCATGCCTCTGAGCAGATTCCGTTTTTGTCAAGTAAAAGAAATACAAATATGCAGTGATGAATTTTGTATTTTGGAGGTCTCATATTATTTTTTGAATAACTACAATAAAAGCATAAAAGCGCACGACATTTTGCCTTTACTGAACGGAAAAGAATTTTAAATATCCTAGTTTTAAGCAACTGGAGTTGTAAACACATACCTCTTGCTAATTTCCTGATCCTAGATAAAAATTTTATTATTCTAGAGAGGGATGAAAAGGTCTAGTGAAATGCTTTCTTTCAGCTTATTTACCTGGCTGTGTATCTCAGAAAACCACAGAGAAGAGTCTATAGGTTGCAATGGGTCATTATGGATCTCATTCCATTTCAGTTTTAAATTTGGGCTGCGCAATATAACCACTATAGATTTTCCTGCATACTCCCTAGCCAGTTCCCTAACTTATCAAAGAGGAATACTGTTGGAGTATATACATGCATACACACAATGATACAAACCATCATCATCTTTCTATGATT